CTTGAAGAAAAATAAAAAAATTCCCTTCAAAATTACAGCTCATCTCATGCATGTGGAACCGAGGAAGAGGAGTGGCTAAACACTGGCTTGCTGGTCTCATCTCATGCATGGGGAACCGAGGAATAGTAGTGGCTAAACACTGGCTTGCTGGTCTCATCTCATGCATGGGGAACCGAGGAAGTGTAGTGGCTAAACACTGGCTTGCTGGTCTCATCTCATGCATGGGGAACCGAGGAAGTGTAGTGGCTAAACACTGGCTTGCTGGTCCAAACTTCTCAGGCTTGGCTGTTTCTTTTTTTTTTTTTTTTACAAAGTTGACATTGACTATTGAGTCAACGTAACCTAACATTGGTACCAAGTCATCCAGATAGTAACTGCGGCTGACACAATGTTGACCACATTAGCCACTTAGTGTCCACCGGTCTATGAACAGTAGGAGTTTAGCATAACATGCTCTATCTAACAATGACATACATGTCATTACTTTTCATACCTGTGACAAAGGCGGCGTCCGTGGCTTAAGCATTGCCAGTCGGATTCGTAATTCCAACGTACCGCTTTCGAAACCCACTGCTGGCTGAGTGGATTTTTATTATGGTATAGGGCGTCGCAGGTCGACCCAGCCTAAAATGAATACCAGGATGTATGTCCTGGGGAAGTAAAGACGGCTGGCGTAATGCTGACCACATTACCCACAAAGTGCCAACTTGTCTGTAAAAATATGAGTGCTCTTCCCCTATGCCCGATGCTCCTAAAGGCGTAAAAGGGGATCTTTGCTTTTACTGATCACATACCTGATGCAGCATTGGCATAACTGTATTTATTTATCATACCTGCGACAAAAACGGCTCTACCATAGGTTTCAATATCTTAGCTCAGAATATCATTTGTAGAAAAAAAGAGGGAGGGTGAGGGATAGTGTTCTTCTTGGGAAGGGAGTCTCAGTCAAAAGCTTACACGTGTAATATATATCATAAAACTATTCTCAAACCGGGTGCTAAAGTTGTACATAGAATCTGCCCTGCTGTATGGCAGCGAATCTTGGAATGTCAATAAAAAAATTAAGAAGAATTTCGTGCAACAGAGATGTGGTTTCTGAGACAAATGCTACGAATAGCTTGGACGGTCAGAGTAACTAACAACGATTGCTGGAAAGAAGCTATTGAAAGTAGATCTCCATATACAACAATACGAAAGAGATAAACACTGTTCTTTGGCCACATAATGAGAAGAGAGACTTTGGCGAACATCGTGACAACTGGAACGATCAGTGGGAAATGGGGTAGAGGCAGACCAAAATAGTCGATGATGGATGGGCTGAAACGATGGCATGGACGGATATCATCAAGAGAGCTGTTCCAGGCAATCAGGGATCGTGATCGCTGGAGACGCATGAGCACCTATGCCAATAGGCAGGGCACGTGATAATGATGACGCAATCGATTGCTTTTTTAGGAAAGTAATGTTTTTCGTTGCGAATATGATTAAAGAAAGTACAGACAGTTACTTTTGAATGTATTCGAACTGGTGCTTCGTTTAGATAGGTAAGGAAAATGTAAAGGTGGGAGGATCGACTTCATTGCACCAGGTTTTTTCCCATATGTCTCAGCCTCTCTCCGCAGAACAGCTAGCTGCCTGTCGAGAGAGTTGCACAGAGCATGACCTCCGTAGCTCTGCCGGCGATCACCAGGGATATCCATAAGAATTTCACTCGCGTGAAACGAACCCACGATCTTTAGAGCGTGAGGAAAACAGCTTGACCACTTCGCCACAAGGTTCATTCATGAGCTTAATTGTAATCAGTTGTTAACTGTAGTATAACAGCTGAATATCCGAGGCAATAAATTGTGTAATCTGTTATTTATGTCTTCTTCAACTATTGATCGACCTTTAATAACTGTATAGGGCAAGAAGTACGGATAAGAGTCAGAGCTTTCCAAGTTGGTCATAACTTTAAGGCTAGCATAATTTGTCGACTCAGTAATTCAGTCGACTGGCAAACCCAGGGTTAAAATCACTTCTGATAACAGGTACGGACACATCTTAGTGGGACACACCGTCGCACTGTACTAAAAACAATACATTGGAACTTATAGTGGTACCTGAACTCTGACCTGCCACTCCCGAATGACGATACATCGACTATAGGGGCACAAGTATGCCTGAATGAAGAATTTATGTTCCGTCAGGTCGAATCGCAATAAATTAAATGGTCAGTATGTACCTCGTTCATTTCAGTGGGTGCCATTTATTATTCATACATACATACATACATACATACATACATACATACATACATACATACATACATACATACATACATACATACATA